AAGCTTGGCAGCAAGTGTCTTTACCCACTGAATTATCTAACTAGTCCTTCTTCATAATTTTAATGACCAGGAAAGGGTGTTAATTTACAAATGTCATTTTATCCTTGTAAAATATCAGTAATAAGTAGCCATGTATGATAATAATAAATGGTAATAAGAAAATTCAATGTTTGACTGAAGTAAAAGTGTTTTCTAGATAAGTTTTTCCAAGAATTCCCTTTTAAAAGAAATAAATATTTGTTGTGGGATATCTGCACACTGTGTGAAGGTATATTGCTATGAATTGTTTAATAAAGAACTGAACAGCCAATAGCTAGGCAGGAGGTATAGGCAGGACATCCAGGCAGAGAAAGAAGTAGGAAGACATAATAGAGGCACAGTGGAGATGCTAAGAGATACAGAGAGGAAAGAGGAGGTGCAAGATGGAATAGAGATAACACCACATGATAGAAGCTAGATTAATATAACTGGGTTAAAATGGCTTAATTTAAGTTTTAAAAGCCAGTTAGGAACAAGCCTAAGCTATAGGCTAAACTTTTATAATTAATATTAAGTCTCTGTGTTGTTATATTTGAGCTGGTGGTCCAAAGTAAAGTCCAACTATAAATATTAGCTCCCCTAAATGAATGACATATGCCACAAATTGTTATCAGTTTTTAGCTGATGAGAACTTGCAAATGTTTATTCCACTAGCCATAAAGGTAGTAACTCAGGGGCCAGTGAGATCCTCAGTAGGTAAAGGCATTGGCTGTGCAAGAACTGGACCCTGTATAGAGGAAGGAAAGAATCAATTCCCTAAGCTGTCTATCCTCTGGCTTACAACTCATACCATAGCACACTTGTACACATATTCTCTAACCCCAATAAATAAATAAGTGTAAAAATAAAAGTATAGAGAACTGAGATGTCAAACACTCCAATTAGACTGGTGTGACCTGCAACACATAGTTCTCATCCACACTGACCAACAAAAACAAAGACAAAATGTCTTCAAGGTTTAGAGCTTAGAATGGACACTGTCAGTTAGAGTCCCAGTGCTGGGAGCATGTGTGGGAATTCATCATTGCTGAGGTGGGAGGTGTATTTCTCTCATGTTGATCCCATCAGAGAGCAGGGTAACAACAGAAGCAAAATAATGAAGACAATTGTGTTTATTCTGTTAGTTTTGTGACTATTAGAAGCCAGGTAATTGTTGTGGTTTGAATGGAAAATGTCACACAAAAACTTTTGTGTTTGCATGCTTGATCCCCCCATAGTGGTGCTGTTTGGGGGGTGGGTTATGAGACCTTTACAAGATAGAACTTGGGGGGGAGTGTGTGACTAGGGGAATGCTTTCAGATTTTATAACCTGTCCCCACTTGCTGTTCTCCATGCCATGATTTCTGGGCAGCCTCAAGCTCCTGCCACTATAATGCATTGTATTCCCTCTGCCACTGTGAGTCAAACAAGCCCTTTCTCCTTTAGATTGCTCTTGCCAAGATATTTTATTGGAACATAATGTAGTACAAAAATAGGGAGAAGGAAGAAGTTGCCCCAAAGACACAAAATATACAATCTACTATGAATAACAGTTGCCATTCATTCATTCACTATCTCAATACTCTTCAACTAAGATGATTAGGAATACAAGGGTAATTGAAGAACGGCCCAGGATGGACTGTCTCGGCAGAAGTAAGAATGCAGAAAGCAATGAGGCTTGTGTGAAGTAACTTGTGGAAGGATTTGGGAAGCTGGCTGTAGTTCTGCATGGAATGTTAGAGAATGAAACGATTGTATGATATGTGTTGATATACAGGATGAATGTACTCCCCAGCATGGAAGTCCTATTACCCAGCCTGTTGCTACTGAGAAGCAGTAGATCTTTAAGAGAAGGATTGAGTCAGTTTCCTCAATTATGAGTTGTGTTGAAAGAGGGATCCTGAGTTCTGAATCTTTCCAGCCTCCCATCTCACTGTATAATACCACCTCTGTGAAGTGATCTGAACGAATTCCCATAAGCAGAGCCACTCAGGAGCCAGGAACACATTCTTGGACCTACATTTTATAACTAGTCATCCAGCTTGGGATATTTTTTGTAGAAACAGTAAATGGAAAAAAATCAAAGTATCATAATTTTTACCCAGGAAGAAAGAAGAACAGAGAGAGGTTATAGTTATGATAGTGAAAGAAACAGCAGTCACTCATGTGGGTTAGAAGGAGGAATGTTGTCTGGCCGTTTTTGTGGTTTGGCCAATGTCTTGTTTTTGTCTTGACTCATCAGTTCCCAAGGAGCCTTTTTCGGATGCCATACTACAGAAAAACAGTAAGTCCTAGCTATATTTACAAGGCCTGTGGCAATCCATTAAGTTCTCTCTCTCCGTCCCTCTCTCCCTTCTCTCTCGCTCCCCACTCCACTTGTTCAACAAATAACAAATATCTATGGTACTTTACTATGTATGTGGCTCTAGACTTATTAGTGTATTTTATGCCTCTTGCTAGCATGCACACACACATACACACATACACACACACTCACACACACACACACACACACACACACACACTCACACACTCATTCACACACACTCTCTCTCATCATTTACTCAACAAATACCTTGTGAGGAGTTTCTATTATGTCTGTGTTTACTAAACTTATCATTACATAATTGGTACTCCTAACTCTCATTAAAAAGCAAGGCTCAATGTTAGAGTTTAGGGATGGTAACTACATACTGGAGAGAGGTTATGTTACCATCAGGGTGGCAAGAACACCCATGATGCCTTCAGAGGAAAGAGGTGGCATTTAACCAAGAATCAGAGCACACATACCCTTTTGCCAGTTTCAAATAAAAAAGTGCATTGTGGGAAAGAGTAGCAAAGGGGAAGAGCCTAAGACATGGGAGGAGCACACCAAACCCAGAAGTGAGTCTGAGACAGGTTCTAGCTGGTGAAGCGGGTGAAAGACACCCTTCCTTTCTTTCTCCAAAGGCTGTATTAAGGAAGATTGTGATAACATTGGCCCTTGCTAAATATTAGTTTTCAGAGTGATGTGCAATTGATACTGGAGTCAACATGACAGGATCTAGAATCATGGAGGAGATGAGCCTCCAGGTACATCTTGGAGGAATTGTAATTAGCTCTGCAGCGTGTCTGTGGGGGAGTGTCTAGACTGGGTTAAGATGGGAAGCTCTTCTCTAATTGTGGGCAGAATCCTTCCCATGAGCTAAGAGTCCTAAACTACATAAAAAGAGAGAAAGATGGCTGAGTACCAACATTAATTATTTTCTGCTTCCTGACAGTGCCTGAAATCTGACCAGCTGCCTCACACTCCTGGTACCAGGAGTTCCCCACCATGATGGACTGAGCCCTCAAACTAAATCCAAAATTAACATTTGCTTCCTCAAGTGGCTTTTCTCAAGTGTTTCGTCACAGCGACAGAAAAGTAATTAAGACAAGTGGTATTAAATACATTTGTGGGGAATGAATAGTTGGAGAGTCAAAGATCACAGCAGAAAGAGCCTGGTACTAAGCCAGCCCCATGCTGGGCGCACAGAGATAGTCCCTCCTTTTTCTTTTCCTTTCTCTGTCCCATTAGAATGCTAATCTCCTGTGGAGAAAGAGCCCCTGGCTAAGAGTGAATTTTAGTCACTGAAGAAAGATTGTTCTTATGAAAAGAGGAGTCTTCCAGTTTTGTAGAAATTTTACTTGATTGTGAAGAAAGATAAAAGCCTTCGAGAAATTGCATCCCAGTGCTAAGAAACCTCTCTGGTTGTACAAATCAGACATTCTTTTTTAACTTTTGTTCAGACTATTATTAAATACAGATTTTAAAATACTTTCTCAACCAAGCATTATTAAGTGGTAAAAAGTAACAGTGAAGGAAGACATGGCAACTTCTCAAAGGGTCTAAGATAGGACAGACTCTAATCTTTCTTTTATAATTTCAAGGCATCTCAGGCAATAATAAGGAAATTAAGGGGATGACCTTTCCATGTTCTTTCTAGATAGAAATTATAGGATAATGTATGCTAATAAGTCCTTGTAGTTAACAAAATAGGAAAGGACCTCTTTGCGAACTCTGCATTATTTAAATTATTTTTTTTTCTGTAGAATTAAGGATCGTTTTATTTCAAAGTTAAATTGTGTGTGAAATTGGTTCTAAGGTTTTTTAAGCAAGAAAGGCTACCTGTGGTTTTCCAACTTCTCTTCCCATCTCACAAGTAGTACATATTTATTTAAGACAATTTCAAAACTATAAAAATGTCTAGGAAAGAAAAATAGCACCCATATTTGGGGCTTCACTGTACTTCTGCTCAATAATTTTTATCTATATTAACTACATTCAACTTAAAAAATTGTCATAGGCAACCTCCTTAGTCTTCCTCAGATTCAGCCCCCATCAAAAGGCCCTCTCTAAATCTCTACTGCTTCAGGTACCAATCACTCTTATATAAGATTTATTTTCTTTTTCTTTTTGTGTGTATGTGTGTATGTATACATACTTGTGGAGGCCAGAAAGGGCATTGGGTTCCCTGCAATTGGAGATACAGGTGGTTGTGAGTCATGTGATGTGGATGCTGGGAACTGAACTGGGGTCCTCTCTAAGAGCAGCATGTGCCAGGCATGGTGGCGTATTCCTTTAATCCCAACACTCTCCGGAGGCAGCAGCAGGAGGATCTCTGAGTTTGAGGCCAACCTAGTCTACAGAAAGCGTTCCCGGACAGCCAGGGCTACACAGAGACACCCTGTCTCAAAACAACAACAGTAAAAAAACCTCAAAAGACAAAATCAAAACAACAACAGAAATGGCAGAGGCGGCATGGGCTCTCACCCACTGAGTCAACTCCCTAGCCCCTGGTACTGCCTTGGTGCTTCTTCTCACCACACTCTGTCACTGTTATCCTCAAAAGTCCCCTAATCTCTTGCCTTTCACATATGCATGGAGAGTGTTCAGACTGAAGAGTGTCACTGACTTCTTTTGTATGAATTAAGCTTCTGTCTCCTCCTTTCTTCTCCACCAGAACTTTACGTACCATTCAATACAAGATACTGAAAATTGTTAATGGAAATGTACGTGGAAAGTAAGGGCACAAATAACCCAGGGAGAGCATGCAGATGCCTGGCACCTGTGCATTGTAGCAGCAATTGACTCTCTTCAGATATCAGACATCCAAGTAAGTGGGAGCCATGTGTTGAAATTGAGACAAAGGAACGGACTGTACTGAAATTTATGAGTGACAGTTGAACATTCACTCAAGAACATAAACTATGAATGAAACACATTTATAAACCTAAATTATATGTAATTATTTCAATAGAGAAACTAGAGATTGTATGGAAATCCATCTGAGGTTCTATTTTTAACTAAGGGAGCCCAATCTGTGCCATCAATAGTTAGAATAAGTAAAATGTAAGAAAGTATAATCATATCTTCACTAAGAATTTAATTTTAAGGGCAGAGAATGTGGCTTGTGGGAAAAAAAACACTTGACATGCAAGTATAAAGACCAGAGTTCAGATCCCCAACTCCCATGAAAATGTCAGGGGAGAATGAAAGACCTCCATAATCCCAGCATATGAGCAACAGATATGGAATTCTTGATGCAAGACAGGCAGCTAAACTATCTGAATTGGTGAGCTCCAGGTTCAAAGATGAGACTCTGCCTCAATTTATAAGACAGAGCTGTCCATCTCTAGCCTACACATGCATGTGTATGTACACATGTACACACACACATGAACACACACACACACATATACATACATATATATATATATATATATATATATATATATATATATATGCACATACCACACATACAGTAACTTTTAGTTACTAAAGGGAAGCTATTGAAAAGGAGGCCATCATCATTGCACTGAAGGGCATTGGTTAATGTTCTAGGGAGGAGCCCTTTGTTCTGAGTGATCCTGGTGGTGTACCCAGTTCTTTCCCCTTGTCCATGACCCAGCATATGTGGAGGTCTCCATCAGATCCATGGGATGCTATTGCTCTCCTGGAGATAGCTCTGATTTACTGCAAACTCCCATTAGTCACACGTATAAACTTGACATAAATAATATCAGTGTATATTTTCTTCAAGATTTCCTTTATAATGTCTCTCTGTGTGTGTGTGTGTGTGTGCGCGCGTGTGCGTGCGCGTGCGTGTGTGTGTGTGTGTGTGTGTGTGTGTGTGTGTGTGTGTATGTGTGTGTTCTTATATGCTCACGCTTGCAGGTGTCCAAAGGCGAGAAAAGGGAATCAGGTCCCCGCAAGTTACAGTTACAGGATGCTGTAAGCTTCTGGGAACCACATTGAGAGACGCAGGCCTCAGCAGAAGTACAGCCACAGCAAAAATGGCCTGAGCAGCCCCCCTCCCTGCCGCCCCACTAGTTACAGAGAGAGCCAGAATACCTCCCCCTACAGGGAAGGGCCAATCAGAAGCGGACAAACAAATCCAGGTGTCCCTCTGCTGAGACTAAAATGTTGCAACTCCCTAGACCCAAGAGAACCAATCAGCTCAGTCCAGATACCCCTAAAGAGGGCTGGAGCCAATCCCAGGTCTGTAACTAGTTACTCTTGGAATCCCCCAAACCCTCCCTTGTGAGCCACTGTAAAAATCCTTGCCCTGTGCAGCTGGAGGTCTCTCCTGCTCTGCTGCTGTGTCGGTTGAATGGAGAGGCCTGAATGAACTCTTATTAAAGACTATGGTTTTTTGTTTGTTTGTTTGTTTTTATCAGATTTGGTCTTGGTGATCTTTTGGGGATCTGGATTTTGGGCATAACAAAATGCAGTTGAGTTAGAAGATGAGTGAGCATTCTTAACCACTGAACCATTTCTGCAGCCCCTTGGTCTAGAGACTCATTGATTGGTGAAGGTTGATTCTGATTGTCAACTTGACAAAATCTATAATCACCTCGGGGATAAACCACTGTGCACAGCTGCAGGGAATTCCCTGGATTAGGTTACATGAGGTGGGAGGTCTCCCACACTTTTGGCGCACCATCCTGTCAGCTGGGGTCCTGGCCTCCACAAAAGGGGGAGATTGAGCTCAGCACAAGCATTGAATCTCTCTCTTCTTTCTGACTACCGATGCAGTGGGACCAGCTGCTTCCTTTCCCGCCACATGTCTTCCCTGCTGTGATGAACTGCACCCTTGAGCTGGGAGCCAAGAGAAACCCCGCCTTCCTACAACTGCTGTTGTCGAGTTTGGTTTCCACATCAACAAGGCCAACCACTGCTACAAGGAGGAAAGAAATTCTGGTAGATGAAAGTGCTGAGCAAGTTCATGATGAATTGTCAGAGCCATCATGCTTAACATATTTAGAGAGAGCCCAACCTGATTTTCAAGAATAATGTTATTTTAGAATATATCTCAAACAATCATATTCTGTATAAGTAGAGAGAGACTGTATATTTACCTTTTCAAGGGGATTCCTGTATCTATTATCTTGATGTGGTGACAGTTTCAGTTGTAAGCATGCAATGTCTTGTTCTAATTATGCTTCCACCGTCAAATAAAATATAAGGCATATTTGCTTGTACCAAGAATGTTCTAAAGGGTAGGGTATTGCTTTCAGAGACAGGGCTCATTTCACCCTCTTCAATAAAAATTACAAAAAAACAAAAACCACACATACTCTATTCTTCCTGTTTTCCTCTTGTTTGCACCTTGTGTCTCCAAGATGTATTTCTTTACTTGTACTCTATTAAAGTGTCACTTTATCCAGGTGGATGTCACATGCCTAGCATGCCAGCACTCAGAAAGTAAAGAGCCAGATATCAGAAATTCAAGGTCGTCCTTGGCTACACAATGAAAACAGGTCAGCTGGGGCTACAAGAGAAACTGTCTCAAACATACACACAAGGAAAGTATATATAACCTTTTTCTATCTCCTTCCCCCAGCCCTTGACTTGACAATGAGGGCACTCTTCTCATTCTGACTCAAGTTCTCTTCTGAGTCTGTATATATATTTTGTCAATAAGCTCAACAAGGAACTGGGCCTTTTAGGTTTCCAATAATACATGCATGAAAGTGTTATCAGTGCTGGGGTTTTTGATAACTCGGTCCATAATGTGCTTGCTGCACAAGCATAAAGACCTAAATTTGGACCCACACCCCATTTATAACGTTTGGTCTAGCAGTGCATGTCTATAACTTCAGCAGTAGAAGGGGGGGTGCAGAGACAGGCATATCCTAAGAGCTCCCTGATCAGCTCTTCAAGCCAACTGGTGAAAACAGGAAGCATTAAGAGGAACTCTCCAAAAATATGCTGGAAAACAACTGAGGCAGACACAGATGCTCACCTCTAGCCTACACACACACACACACACACACACACACACACACACACACACACACAGAGAGAGAGAGAGAGAGAGAGAGAGAGAGAGAGAGAGAGAGAGAGAGAGAGAGAGAGAGAGAACAAATCCATTTTCCAAGTAGTAGCTGGAGAGGTGGAGGGTTAGCCTTTATAGAACTCTTTAGGAAGGAAACACAATCCTAGAGAATAATTGGGAGGAAACCTTCCCAGCTAATGGCAGATGAGTTATGATTAAGAAAGTTACTAAAGGAGGTGCTTAGAAGACATGGAAAAGAATGATTCAGTTCTGAAGGTGAGAAAATGTCTCCTGACACTGTAAGCAATGTGTGTAAGGCCCAAGTTTGGGAAAAGAGAAGCTTTTCTGGGTGGCCTGCAGATGGGAAGGGCAGGTGGTCATGGAAGAATTCAACAGGGACGAATGTGATTGTGCATGATGAGATGCAATTCTGAATTTCACATCAAAGCATTTTATTAATAAGATAACTTAAAACATTTGACTAGAATTATCTTGTGGGGTCCACTTTAGTAACTTCTGCAATCAGTTCTGCATCTTCATAAGTTTTGAGATTTACATAACCAAATGTGCAAAAGAAGTCTATTTTAAAAGAGTTAGAACAGAAAAACTAGCTAGAAGACAGATGGTACTCACATCCACCTCCTGGAGGACTGAGTGTGGTGCTTTGGGTGGGAAATACTTCCCATGGGCTCATGGATTTGAACACTTGAACCCAGTTTGTGATGCTACTTGAGAAGGTTATAGAACCTTTAAAAGGTCGAGTCTTGCTGCAGGAAGTGCATCACTATTGCTGAGCTTTGAGAGCTTGTAGCCTCATCCCACTTCTTGTTTTTTCTCTCTCTTGGTTCCCTGTATGACAATGAAATTGTGATCATCCAGCTTCCTGCTGCTTGCACCATGACTTCCCTGCCATGATGGATGCTATTCCCCTGGCACTGTAAGCCAGTATAAACCCCCTTATCCTCAAAGTTGCTTTTTGGCCATGGTGTTTTATCACAGCAATTGAAACATAGCTAATATACCCCAAATTGTATTTTGACATTTACAGTAAGTTCAAAGTGTAACCAACTCTATCTGTCATAATGTAGTCTGTTACTATGGCAATACTGTGAACTGAAATTCAGGAATTAGAATTCTTAGACTAATGGGATCCCAAAGTATCACATCTTAACACAAAAGTCCCCAATCATCAAGTCTAGTTCCATTTACATATGAGAAAATTTAGAATAGAAAGAAATGAATTCCCCTGTGCCACTTTGTCAAGAGCTGATAAAACAGGGACCCTAGCATATGACTGCTACCCCTTAGGCTGTGTTTCCTTAACATTCACTAAAATGATTGTTCTAGAGTTTCAACAGCCTTTACTATGAGTTAATGAAAAAAAATATTATTGATGGTCATTTGAAAATCACTTCTTGCAATTTTCAACTTATAAAAATCAAAGGAAGCTGTTTTAGAACCTTAAATAAAGATGCTGGACAAGAATATAAAGAAACTCATCAAAGGTCCTTGTTACAATGGTTCAGTTCTACTTTTGAACACTTTATATATTGAAACAAATTGACATATTTATGAAACACAGTAAATATAGACTTCTAGGTCAAGATACCAGGGTCTTTTTATTTTCTCCACAAAAGACTCTTAAGGGGATAGTCAAGAAATAAAACATTAAGGGGCTTGTGTGGTGTCTTACTTAGTCAGTCCTTCCAAACTGAGGGTCTGAATTTGGCCCCCAGAACCCATGTAGAAAAGTCAGGTGTAGTTGCATTCTCTTGGAATCCCAGGGCTAGAGAGACAGATATAGAAGGCTCATTGAAGTACCCAGACAACCTAGCCTATTTCACAAGATCTAAGTCAACAAAAGACCCTGCTTACCCCAAACAAGTTGGAAGGCAACTTTCTAATGACATCTTAGGCTGACCTCTGACCTCTGCAAGTACACACATGCACCTCCACACACACTGATCCATTTACACACATACATACATCCAAACAGATAAAGAAATATGAAAATAATACCTATAGCACTTAAAACATGAGCTTTGGTATTAGAAAGAAGCAATGGTTAATGGTATTGATAGAGTGCTGAGTGCATAAATCAAATGATCATGGTGATAGACAGCTCAGGAAAGAGAAAATGACAAAGAAAATAATATACTGAAGGGCTGGATGTGAGACTCAAGAGTAGAGCCTGGGGTTAGCATGCCAAGTACTATGTGAGCCAACTGCCAGTATCACCAGTGGGAGTACAAAAACCCTAAACAAACACAAACCCATGAAGGAGAGACTATAGGATCTCATGCAAACTCTCCTCCAGAGATTTCCAGCCAGAGCTTGCCTTTCAGACACTAATGAGGGTAATATGTTATTTAGAGTAATACATGACAGTGCATCCTTCCAAGCCTCCTGCATCACATTACTATAAGAACAGACTGTCACACAGTATACATGGCTAAGTTCTCTCGAGATGAGCTTACTTATTTACCCACAGATATTGGAGACTACAGGAGGAGTCTGAAAACATAGGCCTTACAGCCTTTAAGGATAGATGGAGAGCCCTCCATGCCAACAAATTAAGATCCATTACCACCCCCTTGAATGGGAATAAATATTGCTAATTATAGACAGAACTCAAGATATGCTTTCCAACTTTGGAAAGTTTTCCTCTCCCCCTCTCTACACATGAGTGGAGGCTAGCTGTCAGTGTTGGGTGTTTCCCTCTGTCACTCTCTACTTTTCATTTTAAAGACAACATCTCTTCACTGAACCTGGTGCCCATTCTGGAGAGACTACCTGAGCAGTTAGTCACTGGGATCTGCTGTCTTCATCCTCCCTCCACTTCAGCACTGGCATTACAGGCTGAAGGCCATGCCAAGCTCTCAGTGGATTTTAAGCTGAACTCAGATCCTTAGGGATGCTCAGCAAGCACTTGACCCACTGACCCTTCTCCCAGCCCCAGCACTGTTATCCTAAACATGGCTTGTCGTTCAGAACAAAAGAAAATGCATATGTCTATATGAGAGAGAGAGATGAGGGGGCAGAGGGATGGGGAGGAGGAAGGGAGGAAAGAAAGAAGGGTAAGAGAAAGGGAGGGAGGTCTCACATGGAGGAAGCAAAGAATCAACTCTTACAAGTGCCCTCTGACTCTACACATCCACCAAGACACTCTTCCCCATATAACTACACATAAAAGGTCATTTTAACCAAGAACATCACAAACAAGGGAAGTTCCTTTCAGACCATTTTGTTCATCATTTTGTAACATTTCGCCCCCTGAAAGCATAAATGTGATGGGTAAGATATTTTTTTTCTGACTCAATACAAATAAGAATCATCTGCAAAGAGTGAACCTCAACAGGCAAAATGCCACCATCAGATTGTCCTATAGGCAAGACTGTGGGGGCATTTTCTTAATTAGTGATTGATGTAGGGGGGCTCAGGTCACTGTGGGTGGGGCCACTCCTGGGCAGTTGGTCCTGGGGTCGATAAGAAAGCAAGCTGAGTGAAGGTTTGGGGAGTGAGGCAATGGCAGCACTTCAGTTCCTATCGCCAGGTCCCTGCCTTGAGTTCCTGCCCTGGCTTTCCTGCATGGTGAACTGGAAGCTATAAAATTATGTAAACCCTTTCCCAGGCAACTTGATCTTGGCAGTGTTTTTTTACAATCATAGAAAGAAGCTAACTCGGATAGCAAAGCATAACATTTTCATTTTTCTCACCATACCTACTTTCCTATCAAAAGACAAATGGTGTCCCTTAGCCTCCCCTCTAAGCTTCTGGATAACAGAAGACACCAGAGTGTGTTTAAAGTTTAAGGAAAAATATTACTAAATGGATAGTTCTTTATCTTCAACACCTTCAGTCAAATGTCAAGATAAAAGTAAACATTGGCATACATATGTATTCAGAATTCTATAAAGAAAAATCTATTACCAATATCAATCCATCAATGAATAAAAGTGCATGTAAGAATTAAAAATGTATGGAGCTTTTGATTAAGCCGTGACTTCCTTAAGGGTAAAGAAATATGAGGGTAAGGAAGAGGTGAGTTACTACAAACCCAAAAAGGATTAGCTCCATGAAGAGTTTGTACAAGAAAAAAAATAAAAGGTGGATTCTGGAATGCAAAATTCATGATTAAGAAACTAGAGCTCTTAAATGACACATTAATGCATTTACTTATGTTATCTCAAAGTAAACAGAAGAATGGTAGTTTATAAAGATAAACACAAAAGC